GAAGGCTTCAGGAGATGATGGAGCGGGAGAGAGTTCCGTCTCGACCTTCTTCATGGGGACAGGCGTTTCCTCCTCCTCCTCCTCCTCTCACAGTGCCTCACGTCGGTATTAGCGGTGGAAAGAAGTACTACAGTACTCAGAAAAAGGCGCGCAATACAAAATCTAACTGACAGCATCTCTGTCCGAGAACATTTTTCGACATACCTGTACCCGCAAAAATGTTCGTATGTACCGTTGTTCGCAACACGAAAGTTCGTAAAGCGGGGAGCGCCTGTATTTAGTTACACATTCCATTAGGTTTTCTATTGTGCTTGTCAATCTCTCGATTTTACTGCATTTAAGTGCTTTGTCTACATATATTGCAATCCCCCTCCTTTAGCCTTCTATTTTCATTTCACTGTTTTTTTTTCATCATTAAGCCGAGTTTCTGATATGGCAATTATTTTAAATGTACTGAATTTAGTCAGGTATTCTTTGATTTTTGTGAAGTTTTTATCAAAACTTCTACTGTTTAAGTGTATTAATGAAAGTGCATTTTCCAATTCTACATTAGTGTTGAATTGTTCGTCCGTGTAATAGTGAGAGTTTGTTACGCTGTGTTTGTTCTTGAAGAAATTATTGTCCGGGTCCAAATTGCTCTCGGGGTCGAATGGCTTGTGGTCAGCACCATCAAAGGGTTGGAAGTCCATGTTTTTGGTATGTGAATTTCCTGCTTCAGTCGAGTCAGTGTTTTTGTCATCAGGTGGTGAACAGTTCTCAACTGACAACAAAAACTCTGAGTGGCAAGAAGTGACTCTCTTGGCATGACTTTTACTGGAATCGCAAACAATTTTCTATTTCGTTAATTTACATTTACATCCTGTAGATCGTGGCATCCAAACAAAATGGTAATGACCAAGGAAAAGAGAGTGGAATGCATCTGATTAGCTGCTCAAAATAAATTGCTTGTGGCTTGTAGAGGAGGGGATCTGCCCAATTCCTTAAGGCCCTCCTTGTTCACAGGTTCTTTTATTTCTCTATAAGGTGGAAGCAGACCCAACACCACGTCGTCTTTTTTTCAGTTTATCACAATGCAAAACGAATCGATTCGGGCTCCTGAGAGTCTCAGATTTCTTCAGGAAGCATAGAAAAAATGCAGTCATGAGAATATATAGGGACAATATGATAATGAGAGGCGGGCAGTTATGCCTCCATGCAAATCCTGGAAACAAAGAAATATACATGTCATCTGACCCGGTGTAGCTGGAAAAAGTTGGGAGTGGTGAGGTGAGACCAGATCACCACTACCCACTATTGTCTTCGGTCTGATCTTCGGTGTGATGGCAGGAACACAGATGTTTGAGATAATAGTTACTCTTTTGATGTCAAACATGTCCTCTGGAGGGGGCCCTAAAAGTGGTGGGGATCGAGGGGCACTAAAGGTGATTGTAATCACAGTGAGCAGTAAATACCTCCAACAGCATTCTACATTCTTTGGTTGAACAGAACCAACAACAGAGAGGGGATAAATAAAATCACAGTAAATAACAAATTCCTGAACAGGCTCAACGGACAGTCGAGTAAACGAACGTTTCCTGGAATGCCTAACCTATTATCGTGCTAAAAAACTTCCGCTAACTGGACCGCTAATTAGAGAGAAGGCGAGTTCCATAGCACAAACTATGGGCATAGAAGACTTTGAAGCATCCGGTGACTGGCTTTAAAAGTTGGTTGCACGATATCAGCTGAGCAATGCTGTCTTGTGTGGTGGTCGAGGGGAGGTCAAGTTAGAGACAGTGAGTGGGTGGATAGAAAAGTCACCAAGTCTGTTACTAGTCTCATTTTGTAGCAAATAGTCCTAATTTTGTGGTGCGTGTTTTTAATGCTGTATTTTGTTCATATACCTGTCCTGAATGCTGCGGTTTTTGTGTTCTGAACAGTTTTTGGACCATGTATTTTTGCATTTTATTGCTTGTGTTGTTACACACAGATTTTTTTTTTAACATACTTGCATGTTCAGAAAGGACATGGACCATCATCGTTTCCCTCATAAGGAAATTCTGTTATAAGGAAAGATTGGACAACGCAAATATGCCTCCTTACTGGAGAATACGTATCTGTACAGTAAATATTCCGTAGTACGGAATCAGGTTTGCGCTGTCCAATCCTTCCTTATAAAATAATTTCCTGATGTGGGAAATGAGCATGGTACATGTCCTTTATGAACACACAAGTATGTGAACAAAATAACATGTGTAACAACACAAGCAATGAAATGCAAAAATATATGCTCCTAACACTGTTTATAACACAAAAGCTGCAATACAGTATAACAAACTTAGGACTATTTGCTCTACAATGAGACGAGTAACAGACAGGGTGGCTTTTCTTTCCACGATCTCACTGTCTCTAACTTGACCTCCCCTCGATCGACACCCAAGACAGCGTTGCCCATCTGATGTCATGCAATGAACTTTTAAAGTCAGCCACGGGACGTTTCATAGTCCTCGATGGCCATAGTTAGCGCGATGGAACTCGCCTTCTCTCCAATTAGCGCTACAGTTAGCGTCGGGTTTTTGCATGATAACAAGTAAAGCATTCCAGGAAACGTTCGTTTATTTGACTGTCCGTCAAGCCACAAGCAGTTTACTTTGAGCAGCTAATCAGCAGCTAATTCCACTCTATCTTCCACGGATCTAGCTACAGTATCTACACACATAGATATTGAGGTCTCCTCTTGTTGTTGCGTTCAGGAAACTCAGAGCTGTGAACGAAATAAAAATCGTTCATTATTTCAGTAAAACTAATGCTAATAGAGTCACTTACAAGTCGCCGTTTTGTATCCAATGAGAGTAAATAGCGGCGTGGACAGATTTGTTCCGTGGTATCGAGCGGGACTTGCTTGTTTTTGCACCACTGCTTGCCTCTGTATAGCTTCCAGGTTCCGGGTAGTGAATTTCCGTTGTTATGAATTGATTGTTAATGTAACATCGTAGTCGAAATTTTAATGCATAGGTTTTTAGTCCGTATGAAGGAATTTCCGTTTGAAAGAACTCTGTAGATGGGAATATTTACTGTACTACGATTACTACTTATTTACTACTACGATTACGACTTATTTATAACTGTTGTGCATAGCAATTTTTAACACTGCATTTTGAGTGATTTCAAAAATACTACTGTAGGTGAGGAAATTTCATTTTTGAGCAGGGGGTGGTCAACCTTAAATCTTCAAAGGAGCCATTTCAGGCCGAACCGACCACCACCCAAAATTCAGACCCAACCGTTTGCCAGTGCGCGTGGCACTGGAGGTAAGGTGGCTGAAATGTCTTGCCTCAGGACACTACGACACAATGAGTCTGACAGAGTGGTATTCGAACAGCGGAACCTCTGTTACTGCACCCGTTCGAATCTTGTTGCCGGTTGCCAGACTTTTGTCTTGTGTCGCAAATTTTATTTGACCGAAAAAAAAACAGTCTTATTTTAATGTCACGAGAGAACCATAATCCTCAATACAGTGATCCCTCACTTATCGTGGTAAATGGGGACCAGGACCACCCACAAAAGATGATTTACTAATGCTAGTAAATCATCTTTGTGTGTGTGTGTGTGGGGGGGGGGGGGGGGGGGGCGGGTGCAGTCTGGAACAGAAAAAGGGTGACCGCAAGAGTAGAGAGAGAGAGAGAGAGAGAGAGGGTGATTGGGCTTGTACGAAAAAAACACCACATGTCGCTCTGCCTCCTTAATTGTCTAATCATAAACACATCGGCTGCTTGCTGCAGGGTAGCTGGACAGCAGCTGCTGGAGGCTCATGGAGTCTACACTGTCAGAGCTGCATAAAGGCAATGCTGATAAATGTTAATTACTGTGTAAGGTTTTATAATTAAAGATGTCAGTAAATATGTGTACTGCTATAGTCTTTGTCTCAAATATGTAAAGTCGAAATACTGTTTACATATTTTAAACATGTTGGTACCCACAAACCCACATGGGTTACAGAGAGTAACCCACGTGGTCAGACACAAGGGAGGATGCTGGGCAGGGCTGCACAGCCAATCAGCTCACGGGATAAATCCATTCAGTGCTGTCATTGGTCGACGTCGTGCTGGGAACCAATCAAGTACATGTGCAAAACCTTTGGGTCATTAGGCATTTTTTTCTGAATACAGTACTTTGGGGAAAAAAAATGCGATGGAGTGAGGCCATGATAATTGAAGCGCAATACAGCGAGGGATCACTGTACTTAGTTTTCTAAAGCCACATAGAGCCAGGGCAGGTCACAGACCCCTCTATCAAGATTTTTTTCCCCAACAAAATTCCAATTTTTATTCATCTATCCATCCATTTTCTGATCCGCTTATCCTCACGAGTTGCGGATGTATGTGCTGGAGCCCATTTGAGCTGACTTCAGGTAGTAAGCGGGGTATAACCTGAACTGATTGGCAGTGAATCACAGGGCACACATAGAGAAAGAACCATCCGCACTCATACTCACACCTAGGGACAATTTGGATTGCCCAATCAACCTGCCCTGCATGTTTTTGGAATGTGGGAGGAAACCCCAGTGTCCGGCGGAAACCCACACAGGCACATGGAAAACATGCAAACCCCACATCGGAAGGATGGAACCCTGCACCTCTGCACTGTGAGGTGGACTTGCTAACCAGTTCTTAATCGAAGGTGATAGTTGGAAAAAAAATACCACAGTACATAACATAAACTCTTTCAGAAAATTAACAATATGAGGCCTGTGAATGCCTCGCAACCATCACAAGGTACACACCTTTTTTTCTGTTGGACCCTAAACAGAATTAGCAATGGGTGGATGTTTTTTGCCCCACAAGGAAATGTCGATTTTATTTGAAGAACAATGGGTGGCAATATTGACCTGTAGATGTGAAAAAGCAACTGCTCCAACTTTGAGCCCAACTGCCTGTCATGGACATCTTGTCATATTCTTTCAATGTTTCAAATTATGTGCTGTACTTTGTGCTTGAACCAAATATATATTGCCTCCACAGTCTTGTGTTTCCCGAGAGAACATTTTATCTCTGTGCAAAGACTGGTGTGGAGGCAGATGAGTGGATCAAGATTCTCAGATGGAAATTGGTGAGCTTTTCTATGCTTCGTTTTGCACACCGTGCTGTGAGAAACTACTTGAAGACCTCTCTTGTATTGGTGCAGTTCTCAGACCAATACATGCAGTCCAAAAAATACCACAGCACTTCCGGAGCCTCAATTGAGTATTAGGGGAAGTTGTACCAAAGTTCATGAATACGTTTAAGGAAGTTCTAGTGTCTAATAGAGCATTTGCACTACCATCAGCACAAAACATTTGAAAAGTCATGTCTTGCAAATGTCCCTTGCGCAAAGTTTAACCAACATCTTTTTTTTTTCAACATGTTGCTTGATTCAACACTATCCCTCAAAAGGGATTTCACCTTTTTTTTCCTAGTCCCAGGCACATCAATGAGAGTGACCAGATTGGAACATCACTGCAGAACACTCCAAAGTGAAGTGGGTACACTCTTCCTTGATTAGACTGACTGTGAGGCCATGATATCATATTTTGTGACAACATCTTATTAAAATTACCCTCATAATATTCTTTGATTTTGCTTAAAGATGATACGTCTAAATCGGATATGTCCAGCTCTGGGCCTCATGGGCTGCTGTCACGCCTGTTTTCATTCGCTTCCTGCTGCAACAAACCTGATTCAAAGGATCAGCTCAACAGCAAGCTCTGAGGAAGCATGAGACCGCGATCCTCATCAGCTATGTTGCAGCAGGGACAGATAGAAAACAGGCAGAACAGCGTTGGCATTGGGGACCGAGTTTGAATACCCCTGTCTTAAATCATTATTTAAGACAAGAATAATTTTACAAAGTAGTAGTTACTCATGTCATGGCACTACATCAACAGGTTGATATTTGTCCTTTAACAGGGACCTTTGAGATGTACATTTGTGATGGTACATTGTGTTTGTTTCTGGTGTGTATTATCCATCCATCCATGATCTTGTGAAACCAAAATAAAGAAAAACCAGTGTGAAATGGCAAGGCCATGATTTTTGTATTTTCTGTGCTTCGAACGCTGACGTTTCATCACTTAGAATTTTGTCCACAGCCATGAGGATATCACGGGGCTTAAAGAAAAAAATGATTGTTAAATTATAGGGTTTTAATAAACAAATGAACAACATTAATATAAAGCATATAAATATAAATGAAAAACTCAGTGACGGAAAAAAAATGTTGGAAAGCAATTAGGTGTCGTGCCACACCCCACTCCCACTGTCATTGAATTTATTAGGGGGAAAAACATATAGCTCATACTTTCAAAAAAAACTTAATGCAGGAATAGCTCATCAACACTTCCAGCCAACCCCACAAACAGTGTAGTCCAATCATTGATTTGTTTAATGCTAGCCAGAATAATGTGAACTTGACCTCAATATCTTCCTCTGAAGTACAGCATAAAAGGCCTTGTCAAGAAGAGACTACAGAAAGTCTGCTGCTCCATACCAAATTGTGCCACATTTCCCTTGAAACTGCAGCTAACTTGATTGATGGCACTGTCTCCTCCTTGCAAAGTCATGGAAATCTGCAATTGTTCTCCCACTTCTAAAAAGTGTGGACCCTTCGGTCTGAGGCAATTATTGCACAATCTAGATTCCGATTTGTCTTGGCTAAATTGTTGGAGTCTTCCATAGATGTGTAACAAAAACATTTCTTAACTAATAACTCTATTTTGAATCCCGCTCAACCTGGCGTCCTCTCTCCATTGCTCCTCTCCCTCTACACGAACGATTGCACCTCAACACACCCAGCCGTCAAACTCGTACAGTTCACAGACAACACCACAGTCATCGCTCTCATCAAAAGGGGTGTTCACGCGGCAACTTTTACTCCGGTGTAGCACCGGGGCTGCCCCTCGGAGAGTGTTCACATGTACAAAGTTATACTGGTGAAGCACCTGAAAACAGCTTATACTGGATCAAATTTAACCCTGCTCAGGAGGTAGTTTAAAAACTTGCTGCGGAGTAAATGCTAGTTTGCGGGGCAGCACCAATATAAAATGGGATGTGTGAACGCTACAGGGGTAGACTCACTACGCATGAGAAGATTTGATTGCATACGGGCATTGAATGCGTTGCTTTCATGCTCTGTTATACTTCTGCCATCTTTGCTTTCTCTCTCTCATCCTTTTACGGTGTCTGAGAGACCACAGCGTTGATTTGTCTGGAGGAGTATATGTCACAAACAAGGCGGGGAAAAGGAAGTACACTTTACTCATGCGCATGTTTTATTTCCGTCATATATATAATCGTATTGCACGGCCGCAGAAACTGCCGTGTGAACGCAAGTGGGCTGCACTGGGGTTAACACGCTCCTCTTTGGTAAGCAGCTTTATACTTGTGAACGCTACACAAAATTTACACCGGTGCTAGATATATCGCAACAAAATACATCGGTGCAGCACTGATGCAAATGTGTGCTGTGTGAACGCCCCTAAAGACGGCGACGAGCAGCTGGCGCTCTGGTGCTGCTAACACAACCTGGAGCTGAACACACTCAACACGGTAGAAATTATCATGGACTCCAGGAAACATCCTTCACTAGAGCCGCCCCTCACATTATCCAACTGCCCTGTGTCACCCGTCGAGACCTTCAAGTTCCTGGGAATCACAGACTCCCAGGACATGAAGTGGGAGGTCAACACCAACTCCATCCTGAAAAAGGCCCAGCAGAGGATGTATTTCCTGAGGCTGCTGAGGAAGCATGGCCTGCCACAGGAGGTGCTAAGACAGTTCTGCACAACAGTCATCGAATCGATCCTGTGTTCTTGCATCATGGTTTGATTTGGGGCCGCCACAAAATAAAGGACAAAATCCGACTGCAATGGACAGTTAGGACGGCGGAAAAAATAATTGTCACCGCCCTACCCACTCTTGAGGACTTGCACACCGCAAGAACCAAGACAAGGGCAGGGAAAATCCGACTGGAACCCCCACACCCTGCCCACCACCTTTTCCCGCTACTCCGCTCAGGCAAGTGCGACCGATCCATGCGCACTAAATCCAGCAGACACTCAACCAGCTTCTTCACTCTAGCCATTAACTCCCTAAACGGTAACCCAAATCTACCTGTATAGTGGCTCTTTGTAATGTTGCACACACCTGTGGAACAGCATTACCGCAATAATTTTTGTAGCTCCAGCTCTGTACTTACTTGAACCACTGTCACTGATCTATATTCCACAGCACCAGACACATTAAAGCACTCAAGGACATCTGCATAATTGTCCACTTGTTGAACTACAAATACTGCTACTGGTCACTTTAAAATGGTGCAATGTTTTCTGCACCAACTGCACAACTGTTATAGTATTGTATTCTACCACTGATCACTTTAGCTCTGCTTGATACTGTGCACATTGTCTCACAGTTGTCATTGGGTGGTACCACCGCACAACAGTTCACTTACATTACGGAATGTCCTTCCATACCTATTTGTCATGTCCTTGTTTATGATGATACGAGTGCAGCGTGTACAATCGGAGACAAATTCCTTGTGTGTTCTACATACTTGGCCAACAAAGATGATTCTGATTCTGACAATGACGCATTGCAAAGCTGTAACCTCGATGCGAATGACATCTCACAAGCTTTAGTTAACCAGAAGTCTTGTGCTGCTTTCTTAATTTATCGAACACATTTGATGGAATGAACCCTCTCCTGCAAACGTTACAAAGCACAGGCTTTCGTAGCGCTGTGGTTGTCAGGGGTTTCTCCAAAAAAAGGAATCGGTCCTCACAAACGTGGAGAGGCAGGGATAAGAATAATGTTGAATTCAGAAACGCAGGACCGACAAAGTACAACAAAAGTTGTTGGTAACAAAGAACCAGGATAAAACGAGATGAACCAAAAGAGCTTGCAACATGCAAAGAAAAAAAAAATGCTAAATGACATCACAAGGAATTCCAATGAAAAGAACAAGATACCGGTCCGTGGGTCATTTGGTACCGGGCTGCACAGAAAGATTAAATAACTTAGATTACTTCCGTCTTATTAAAAAAAAAAATTCAGTTGTTTTTTTAAATTTCAGAAGACAAAAAACGTTACAATTAGTTCACAACGGTCGATTTCACTGACTGTTTCCACCTTGTTTTCAGGTCTTCTTCACTCTCAATTGCGAGAAAGGCCCCATTGGGACGTGAAGCCAAAAGTCGATTACTGCCCTTTTGTGGTCACAGTTATGAATTGCACCCTTTTGAAAGATGACCATATGATTTATTACCATCGAAAAATCATCAGGAACACAAAATGCCCAGCTTGTGCCGATCATTTTGTGGCAACTGAGACATTTTTTTTCCATTTCTGAAAACAAAAAACATTGCTATTCATTCACAACGGTCGTTCTTCCCCACTTTTTCCACCTTTTTTTTGGAACTTTGCTCTCAATTGCGAGAGGAGCCCCATTGGGACATGGACAGAAGAAGTCCGTCTATTCCCTCTTCTGGTCATAGTTCGTCATTGCAACCTTCTTAAAAATAACATTTCTAACTGCCATCGAAAAATTAGCGATACGACAAAATGGCCACCCAGTGAAGATAATTCTGTGACATTTCATGGATTTTTAAAAAAATTTCTCAACACAAAAAACGTGACAATTAATTCACAGCGGTCGTTCTTCAGCTGTTTACACATTGAATATGGCTCTTTGCTCTGAAATGCGAGAGCCCTCTTTGGCCGTGCACAGCAAGCGCCAATAGCTTCCCTCTGCTCGTCAGAGTTAGTCACTGTAACCTTCTGAAAGAATACCATTTTATCTCTTAATACCTGACAAGAGAGCTCCACTTGGACGCGCAAGACAAAAGTCGATGACTGCCTTCTGCTGGTCATAGTTTGTCATTGCAACCTGATGAAAGACTACCATCATGTTTCTTATCACGTTCGACAAATTAGCAGTAACACAAAATGGCCACCCTGCGAAGACAATTTTGTGACATTTGATGGATTTTTAAAAATTTCTGATCACAAACAACGTTACAACGAATTCGCAACGGTCATTCTTCACCGCTGTTTCCACCTTGTGTTTGGCTCTTCTTCGCTCTCAAACGCGAGAACCCTCTTTGGCCGTGCACAGCAAGCGCCGATAGCTTCCCTCCGCTCGCCAGAGTTAGTCACTGCCACCTTCTGAAAGAGTACCATAAAATTTCTTATTACACGATGTATCTACCCTGGTCAAGGACAACGCCTCGAACTGACGTCCAAAAACGTTTATTCGTGGAACACTGTGAAAACTAAAAGACATTTCAACATCAACAATCAATAATCTGTTTAACAAGACATGAAAAAAATCAGCAAAAATAACATACCGTGTGCACCTTGTTCAACCGAAAGTAGATAAACTAAAATAAAGTCGATCAGACAGTCACGTTTCGTGTCTACCTCGCCATCTTTCTTTCTGGATCTCTCTGTCTCCCTCTCTTACTCCCTCACTATACGCCACAAGTTACCCTGAACCGGAAATGGTCATCGAGAAAACATCCGTTCTCTGCCATCTGCTGGTCACCGTTTGTCATTGCAGCCTTCTGAAAGAAACTCATATTATTTATTTTGACCCCACAAGAGACCGATTCGGACGTGCATGACCATTTCGATCACTGCCGTCTGCTGGTCAATATTTGCCATTGCAACCTTCTGAAAGAAGAACATACTATTTGCTATTACCCTTGAAAATCAGTTGGAACACAATATGCCCACCCCGTGAAGATAATTGTGGGAAATTTT